AGTAGTATTAGATTTAGATAGTATAAATGTAGTATTTATTAGATTTAGATAGTATAAATAGTAGTATTTATTAGATTTAGATAGTATAAATAGTATTAGACTTAGATAGTATAAATATAGTATTTATTAGATTTAGATAGTATAAATAGTAGTATTTATTAGATTTAGATAGTATAAATATAGTATTTATTAGATTTAGATAGTATAAATAGTAGTATTTATTAGATTTAGATAGCATAAATAGTAGGTATATTTTATTTATTCGATTTAGATAGTATATATATAGTATTTATTAGATTCAGATAGTATAAATAGTAGTATTTATTAGATTTAGATACCCGAGAGTAGAATAATTGCATCTACAGATTAAATTCTTCGGGACACCCTATGCATCGTCGAGTGTTGCTCATTACCTTCTATATTTATTTCCTGATTTACACTTGATTCAGAGTGCTGTCTTTTCCTCTGTTCGTAGCCACGAGTATCTCGATTAACCGCGAAATTGATTTAATCGTCGCGAAACTTTCGAATCGCGAAGTTCCGGGGAAGAAATTCGGAGGGGAGTCGGAATTAAACACGCCAGGATTGCGAACGCAAGCAGGCACCGCGAGAGAACTTTAACAAGAAAAGAATCAACTCGAGGGCCAGCTCGACCTCGGATTGAACAGGAAACTTTCTCGATCGGGATTGTCAAGTGGACGCAAGCAACGTCGAAACGAAAACGAGACGAGACGAGACGGGGGTTTCTGTTAATTTTTAAGTTACAAAGTACTTACAATACATCTATGGGGGACTGGGGAGACCACTCTCGACGAGGCCGTGCCTTGTTGGGCATTTGCGCTCCTTTGCTCGTTCACATCCTTGAGGATTCTGCAAAAAGATACGAGAGAGTATGTACGTGCGTCTTTGTGTGCCTTGTTTTATATTGATTATCTGAAACCTTTTTCGCTCGAGAATGTATTACACAATGGGAACAATATAGTTAATAACAATTGGCACTCCTTGCTTCCTCGCAAATAAATAAACGATACGTTTAGTACAATAAACCCTTGCGTAAGGTTTTTCAATCTGTAAATCAATACAGATTTAATTCACGTTCTTGCCAATCAAATTTGCCATCTTGCAAGTTAAATTCATCTGGTAGACGAAGCGAACTAAAAAAAAAGTGGTATTTCTATTTTTATATATCGCTCCATTTTGCCAAAAATCATATTCCACGCGAGGAACAGTTTGACTCGATCCTTTGAATTATGAACATTAATAGTGCGCTCTGTTTAATCACCCCTGCAGATTGTTATGATTATTACATGAACGTGTATATATCTCGCGCAGCTGCAGCCGAACATAGATTAAATAGAATTTTCAGCGTTAAACAAGTATTTTATTAATGAATTTCCTGTTTGTTCTACGTTATTTTCTGTTATGTAGGTATAATGATTTTACTTTGCATTTTATTTTTATTACGAGGGGAAACAGATTATTTATTTTCATTTCTTGTAGCATATAAATCTTCAGAACCTCCTCGTAATAATACAATAAAGTTGTATTATTGTAATTTCTATCCTCGTTCTATAGGGTGGGCTGAAAGTTTCCTCCCAATTATACTTTTTGTCAAAATATACGAAAAAAATTAATTTCATTAATTTTAAGTTTCAATTCAAACATGATTTTCTTATTATGTTTTTAGTCGTCATTACATTTTCAATCGGTAAGAAAAATTTAAAAAAATATATAATAAAAGAATTACAATAAATATAACAAATAAATTTATAAATATATATATATATATATATTAATAAATTTATAAATATATTAATTATAAATATATATATAATATATATATATTTAATAATTAATATAATAAATATATTAATTTATAAATATAACAAATAAATTTTAGTATTTTTTCGACCTCTACACTACTGTCTCAAAATGAATATGAAACTATAGAAAGAAGGAGCATTTGATTCTTTTTATTATTAAACAAGAACATCAGAAAAACAAACGACAAGTCAAAGAAGCTCTCGTTTCTTGTTTAATAAAAAAAAAAAAAATCTTCTTCTTTTTCATCGCTTCATATTCGTACTGAAATATCCCTTAATTTTTGTGAGCAGTGTGACGAAAAATTATGAAGCAAATTATGAAGAATTCTTTCATCGAACGAGCGAATAACCGCAGGCACAAACGTTGATATTTGGACCGTCGCGAGTGGCGTGCAAATTGCTATCCTTCCCCCACGTTCGAAGCCGAGAGGAGAAAGAGGCCGAGCGAAAGAAGAAAAACTAGAGGGCGAACAATGAAATTTGCTAATTCGATACGCGCGCGCGTCTTTGCAGACCGAGCGAGAACGGGGGCGCTGGAAATTCGATTAATCGTTCACGTTGACGCAAGAACGTTCGTTATCTATTCATCGCGGCATTCTATTCATTGCGTATCGTGAAATCGTCGTTGTCGCGAGAGAGAGAGAGAGAGAAGAAAATTTCAGTTGCAACAGTGTTCGACATACCGAAGCGAGAACAGATGGACGATAGTGATTTTTTCTAACGTTGGAGAGTCTTGAAGCACTTTTTTGTTTCGATACTCGAATAAATATTTGTTTACCAATATTTTATTCTAACTTGGAGAGTCTTGAAGCACTCTTTTGTTTCGATACTCGAATAAATATTTGTTTACCAATATTTTGATTAATTGCACGAGAAAAAAAAGAGGAAATTGATAATGTAATATAGTTAACCTTGTTATCTTAACTAAATTAAGATAATATAATATAGTTATAATATAGTTAGATAAATTAATATAGTTAGATAATTAATATAGTTAGATAAATATAGTTAGATAATTAATATAGTAAACCCCTTGATAAAATGGTATAGCCTTTTTTAAAATTGCTTGGATATAAGTAATTTACTGAAATATAGTAATTTACTAAAATATACTTTACCAAAATATATTTATGAAGATAAATTAATATAATTGTAAAACCCTTGATAAAATAGTATACTGTTTTTTAAAATTACTTGGATATAAGTAATTTACTAAAATATAATTTATTAAATAATTTACTAAAATATAGTAATTTACTAAAATATAATTTACTAAAATATAATTTACTAAAATACACTTCACTAAAATATACTTTACTAAAATATATTTATGAAGATAAATTAATATAATTGTAAAACCCTTGATAAAATAGTATAGCTTTTTTTAAAATTACTTAAATATAAGTAATTTACTGAAATATAGTTATTTACTAAAATATAATTTGCTAAATAATTTACTAAAATATAGTAATTTACTAAAATATACTTTACTAAATTATATTTATGAAGATAAATTGATATAGTTGTAAAACCCTTGACAAACTAGTATACCTTTTTTTAAAATTACTTAGATATAAGTAATTTACTGAAATATAGTTATTCACTAAAATATAATTTACTAAATAATTTACTAAAATATAATTTGCTAAATAATTTATTAAAATATAATTTACTAAATAATTTACTAAAATATAATTTAAATTTACTAAAATATGGTAATTTACTAAAATATACTTTACTAAAATATATTTATGAAGATAAATTAATATAGTTGTAAAACCCTTGACAAACTAGTATACCTTTTTTTAAAATTACTTAGATATAAATAATTTACTGAAATATAATTATTTACTAAAATATAATTTACTAAATAATTTACTAAAATATAATTTACTAAGTATATAAAATATACTTTCACTAAAATATAATTTACTAAAATTTACTTAAGTATAAGTAAATTACTGTCACATATAAATTACTAAATTACTAAACATCAAATTACTTGTCAAAAATAAACTTGTCAAATTTAAATTCAGAGGAATCTGCGAAATAGTAATACACAGGTGGGTACAGAAAGTACTCGTACAAAAAGAAAAAGAAAAAAAAAAAAGAAAGCAAAGAAATTGATAATATAATGTAGCTCATAAAATAGTATACTTATTTTAAAATTACTAAGTATAATTAGTATACAATGAAATCAATGTATTTTATAGAAATTACATACTTCGTCTCACAGACAAGACACGATAGTTTCAGTCAGCTTCGCGAATCACCTCCACAAGTAATCATTAGATCTCGAGTTTTTCGAAAACGCAGTCCTTCAACGAAACAGCCGAATGCACAGCAGCAGAGCGCGCACGCGAGATAAAAGATCGGTAAGATCTCTCTTTCCCCATCGGCGATGGTTTTATTCCCATCGTAGGAAGCCATTGATAAAACGTTCGAAAATCCACGTAGGGCCGCGTAGTATTTACCAAAGAGAGTAAAAAGCAGACCTGGATATCGGTTCCATTGCTGCAAAAACGAACCTCTCTCTCTCTCTCTCTCTCTCTCTCTCTCTTTCTCATTTTCTCTTTTTTTCTTCCGACGTAAAAGCAAAAGGATCCCTATCCACTCGGGGATGTGCAAATTTCTAATTACTTTTCTCTGTGCAGACTTTTTCCAAAAATTTGCCGCACGTACGCGGACGTATCGAACGTACCACGATCAGAATTATGGTCACCGAAAGACCCAATGACACAAATCAAAAATAACTTTTACAAACACATGTTCCTTTTAAATTTTTTATTATTATAATTGGGAATATAATAATATTTTATTATTTTATTTGGAACATAATAATATTTTATTATTTTATAATATTGTATTATTTTATAACATTGTATTATTTTAATAATTTTTTATTATTTTATTTGGAAATATAATTAGTGGATTTTCTTCAGTGTTAAGCCTGAAACAAACATCCCTCAAACGACCATTTTTTTCACTGGCCACCCTGTATAAAATGCCAAGACAAAATATCTGTCAGTACATATACAGGGTGTCCTGTTTTTGTCCATCTGTAAATACAATTATCGCCGAAGCTATTAAATTCGTCATTTAAGAAAATGTTTCAAACGTACTCTTCTATGTCGAGAGGGCAGTAATTTGGTATACTTTGTGTTTAAATATACGCGTGTAGGAGATACTAAGGTCACTACTATCTTTTACACAAGTACAATTACTTAAATTTCTTTTTTTGCATTAATTTAGATGCAGCAGTTCTTTAGAAAAAAATTATATTAACCTATCTATGTTAAGTGCCAACTTAACCTAAACCTAACCTAAAAAATTAGTTTAGAAGACATTTCTCATGAAATCTTTGCGTGAAAGACAAAAAAAGTATGAATATAAGAATACTCTTGTCCTCCTTCGTCTTCCGATACGATAATTTAAAATTAAAGTTAAACTAATAATTCTTATTATATGTAGGTTATACGTAGGTTAATATACATTTTTACAGAAAATGACCTGTTGCGTTTTAAATGACGAATAGTTTCGAAGATAATTGCATTTGCAGATTAATACGGAACGCTCTGTGTCTATATATATAGGAAAGGAATAGCAACGAGATTAATCGATCCCAGAATCGCGTGCCTTTTAGCCAAACACAATGGCTGACAAAGCGAAGATGGATGAGCCCGCGAGGAACGATTTTCGCGCGCGCGCCTCGCCCGGGCGTTAAGCACGCCCCGCTTTCTCGCGTGAATCTTTTTCGCGAGATTGCAAAGTTGGGAAGTTGCGAAGTTTCGGGGTTCGCTCGGCGCGTAAAAAATTTAATCGAAAGAAGGGAGAAGCTCGCTTGAATATTGCAAACGGGGTCGAAGGTTTCCATTCTCTCCTCTCTGTTGTTTGAGAGTCGATCTCGATCGGGGAGCAAGATAAACGCGAGAACAGAATCGATCGAACAAAATAGGAGAGATGGATAGCTGGTATGATCAAAACTGTTAGCTATTGTACTATACAATAGATACTATACTATACTATACTGTACTATATATACTACTCT